ATTTGAGTCGTCTCATCAACTCCAGGAGAAACTTTAATGGAAACATATGCATCCGTTTAGTTTTAAAGAGACATGGCAGATTTTCATGGATAAGCAATTAGCATTTTTTTTCTTTCTCTTTTTGGTTCACACCCAGTGATGCTCAGGGATTACTCCTGGCTCTGCATTCAGGAATTACTCCTGTCGGTGCTTTGGGGACCTTATCGGATGCCAGGGATCGAACTTGGTTTGGCCATGTGCAAGGCAAATGCCCTACCCGCTGTACTAGCACTCAGACCCTGGAATTAGCATTTCAGTTAAAAATTATGTTTGGTTGTTGATGCTATTTTCTGTTGATTTTTTTTTTTATTTAAAGAATGAGAATATATTTCTCCTTCATTTCAAAAACTATCAGGTAGTTTCTACTTAGAAATAACTGTCTAATACTGTTGGCTGGGAAATGTACACTGGTGGAGGGATGGGGGTTGGAATACTGTATGACTGAAATTCAATCATGAATGGCTTTATAATGCTCTAAAAATTAAAAAAAATAATAAATAAAGAAACAACTCTATAAAAACGTTTTGCACCTTCCCTTGAAAGATAAGGATGAATTTCAGTAGATCTCTGATGTTTGGTTTCTTTTCTTATAGCAAAAGGTGATTTACTACCTCTGCATTTTATTGAAGGATCCAATAGAACCATATGGAATATCCCAAGTAGTACCTGTCTTCCAGGTAAGCACAAAACACTGAAGTTTCTTCAGAGATATCCCCTGCCTTTCTCCATCGCTCTGCGTATCCACTGCTACCTGTATTCAGTAGGAATGTAAACTGATGTTGTCAAGAGTATTTTAGTTATTTCCCAAGTTTCTTTCTGAGGTAAAGATCAGCTTTCAGAAATACTATGAGTATATAACTTTTAGAGAAAAATATTCAACAACTCTTGATACTATATTATTTTGGTTTTTGGGCCACATCCAGCTATGGTCAGGGGTTACTCCTGGCTCTGTGCTCAGGGGACTATATGCGATGCCAGGGGTACAGCGCTTACTGGCGGTTTGCAAGGCAAATGTCTTACCCACCATACTATCTCTCTGGCCCAGATTTACCTTTTAGTCGCTGTTCATTTACTTTAGTCTGCCTGCAAATATGACTTTACCTAAGCTACATATAGTTACATACTATTTTGTGTCTTGCTTTGTAAGTGATATATATATATATATATATATATATATATATATATATATATCTCACTGTCACTGTCCTCCCGTTATTCATAGATTTGTTCGAGTGGGAACCAGTAACGTCTACAACAAATTGTGAGGCTTGTTGTTACTAGTTTTGGCATACCAAATACGTCACAGGTAGCTTGCCAGGCTTTGCCGTGCGGGCAAGATGCTCTCGGTAGCTTGCCGGGCTCTCGAGAGGAGTGGAGGAATCAAACTCTGATCAGCTGCGTGCAAGGCAAACGCCCTACCCGCTGTGCTATAAGTCCAGCCCATATGTGTGTGTGTGTATGTGTGTGTATACATATATATTTTCATACATCTACAAAGGCAAGTTATATGGGTAATTTAAAATAATTACACTAAATCGGGTATCAGTATAATTAGCAACTTGATTGCTAAAAATCGCATTCAAGTTACTTTTGTTTCGATGTTACCAAAACCCCCAAAACAGCACTTTAACATAGATATGGTTGTAATGAATTACTGTGTTTGATGTATAAAATATTTAGGTACCAATTTAATTCTACCTCAGTCCCCTTCCTTTTTCACAAAGAATTTAAACACTCTTTTTCATGTTTCAAAATTATTTTATTAAAGCTTTGAGTATCTTATAGATTATAATAGTGTTTGAAATTTGGCCTTAGAGATAGGGCAGTTATACTATACTTTTGGGAATTTGTCCCTTTTTTTGTGGTGCTGTGTTCTCTCATTGAGCAAAAGACCTAACCCTTATACTTATTTTTTAACCATCATGGTTATCAGGAAGTTTAGCTGATTTTTAGTTTTATATAGAGGTAAAGGCATTTTAAAGATATTAAGTCTGTATTTGTTGAGGAAGCGGAGGTGGCAGGCATAGAGTTTTTTATTTACTTGTGAAGTTTTTCAACTAAAACGTAGTATTAAATAGAATTTAAAATATGTATGACTTTTTTTTTTGCCTGAAGGAGCAACAAAGGGGGGAAAAAACCTATATGCTGTTATAAGTGAAGTAATAAAAATTAAAAAAAAATTTAAGTTTATATCTGTTTAAACCAGCATAGGTATGTTTTTATGCCTCCATATATCAGGGGCTGAAGGAAGCTGGTTTATGTTATTTGGAAGACATGGATGTGGGATCAGTAGTGCTCAGGAGTGACCCCTGGTGGTGCTCAGAGAACCATATGTGGTGCCAGGGGCTTGAACCAGGGTTGCAGCAAACTGCATGCATGGCAGTCCAGCCCAGCAATACTAGTATAGTGGATAGCCTTTTGCATTTTCTTGTAAGCACTACCTATTTGTATTTCCTTTTGTTTTAAACTATCCATCTTCTCTGTTAGTCTGGTAGTACCTAAATATTGAGTAGGCATTTGTAGTAGTTTTGGTAGCAAATGTTTATTAAATATGCTTACCACACATTTTTCTTTTCTGCGGCCTTTCTTCATTTGAGTCTATACCACATTTCACTGTCCAAACTATTTTTCAGTATTTACATATTAAACTATCAAGCTTGTCTCTGAGGAATGTTTCACAACTGAGGAATGTTTCACAGCTTATGACACCTCCCGAGAGTCTGTACTTGTCATTTATTTTGCTTACTCGTGGATGGATACAGTCAGAATACAGTCAGGTTAAAAAACAAAAACAAACAAACAAAAACACCAAACACCTGTTTTCTGAGCTTCTGCTTCTCGAAGTTCACAGGCTGGACTGGGAGCCTGGTTTGGGACTCCTTGTAAGAAGGTGCTCTTAGGCCTGAACTTACTTCTTTTCTGAGCTTTCACCTGTGCCACTCAGCCCCTTTGCTTTGGTGAGAAATTGGGGTTGTGCATGGATGAAGCACCCTCTTAACTTGCTTCTTGACTGCTTTTATCCCCTTTGGAATCCAGAGTGCCAAGCCCCGGCTGGACTGCTTGATCGAAGTATACAGGAGCTGTCAGGAGATCCTGGCACACCACAAAGACACAGCCGTGAGTTCCTGACTCCCAGCAAACAAAGGCCAAGTATTGTCTTCCACGGGAGATGACTCCTAAGCCACAAGGGCTGGTAATAATTCCAGTACACGAAGCCATCAAATGGACACCGTACCAAGAAGCAGTATGGATGCTGTGCATCTCGGAGCCATAGAGCAGGTGGCCGGAAGCCTTGCTCACTGTGAGATGCTGAGCAAAGTATGTTTATGCTAGTGCTGCCCTCAGACGGCTTTGCTTACTTCAACAACTGAGGGAGACCTTAAGAAACTATGTCAAAATAAATGTCAACACAGAGCACTTTGTGAGATTCCCAAACACAGTCCAGTTTACTGTTGAAATTTGTGGAGTACGATGTTGGAAAACCACTACCAGATATCCGGAGAACAAGTTCCAACCGCATAGTACCCGTGCATAAAAGCGAAGGTAAAAGAGAACCAAGCTCTTCAGGTTCTGACTGGTTAGCCTGGGGGAAAAAAGCCTACATAAGACTCGTCTCTGTCTACCTACTTCCTGTACAGAGTTAATTTATGATGACTCTCTTAATAAACAGACGACTTCCAAAACATACACAACAATGGCCTGGTTCACGGTCAGCTGCTTTTTTATTGACAAACATGATCGTCGTGTTACAGTCATTGCTGTCAAGCACATTAACAATCAGCATTGTCAGCGGTTTCAGAAAAATTCTTTCGTTAGGAGGGGGTGGTGAGAAAATGTCAGATAGAAACTTGATTTTGGTTTTAGACATGTTTAAGAAAGGATAAACAAGCCAACTATTAGAAGCCTTTGTTTATAAGACAGTTTCTTCGGTATACAATTAATAAACCAAGGGAGGATTCCTGTAAGGAGTCTGGGAAGGAAAAAGGGTGGAAAGATAACTGGAGCCCCAGTTTTAGCATGAAACATGGCTCCATTCTTGCTTACATTTTCTTCAGAATCTCAATTTTACTTTGAACTCTGGGGTGGATATTCTCATTAGCCTTAGAGACACTCAGGATATTTTAAATAGGCTATCCTCTCCGCCCTTGACATAAGCCCTGGAGGGGCTATCCAGGAGGCTCTGGTACCTGTGACTTATTTGAGGTAGAAATGTCTCAACGAGATCCCAAATTTTTGGGAGGAAAAGCAGAAACAAATGGGAGAGGGTTGTGGAACTGGCAGCCTTTGCAAAGCTGCATTCATTTTCAAGAGGCAGACAGAGCTGCTGTTTTCGTCATGCCTGTCAGCGTAAAGGGTTCATGAGCAAATGAGGCATTCGGATAAACTAGGTCCAGTCTTCTCCGCATGCACCACACACACATTGTTGGGGTGGAAGACTTGGGTCTGGGATGCTGCTGCTACACCCATACAGGTTTCAGCACTTTAATGACAAATGTGAGAACTGCTCTAGAGCTATGAAATAAAACTGAAGTTTCTTTAGTGATGGGAAGTCAGAGTATAAATCAACTCCTTTGTCTTTTCTCTCAAGAGGATGGAGGCAAAGAGCCTCTCCTCTGTACTCCACAGACTGTCTCAGGGATGAGGGAACCTGGGTATCATCAGGAAAGGAGAGGTGAAAAGTTGTTAGGCTAGGGCAGATATCACCTGTGTGGCCTCTGCCTGCCAATTAATTCCTAGCAGAATTTGCCAGAAGTCGTGAGGGTTAAATCCAGGCTTACCAGTCTGGAGGGTCTCCTGTTTCTGACTTTATCTTTCGTGTCCTCACAGAACAGCAAAAGCTGAGCAAAAGTTTGCTTGGTCTATAAAAAGGATGGGGAAATGGGGCAGCAATAGTGAGCACAGCCGACCTTGTGCCCGGTCCAGTGGTTAAAGTGGGAAAGGGCCTGCGTAGTGTCCAGTCCACTGCTGGGCTTGGCTCCAGCAGCAGGGAAAACAGCTTTGTTCTCAGACGCAGGAGGGCAAGGGAAGGCTGAGCCTAAGCTCCTCTCCAGGCCTGCCCTCTGCGAAAGTCAGTCCAGTTTCAGTGAGTTCTAGGCCTTTGTCAGAGATCAAGTGAATTAGAAATTCTAGTCATGTCCTAGTCAGGGATACTGGGAAAACTTCAAGTATCAATCCCCATCTAAGGACCATATACAGTATTTAAAAATCGGCCTTCCTGAGAGTATCGGTGCAGACGGCACTGACTCATACCACTGACGTCGTTGTCGTCTGTACCAGTGGGCCAGCCCTGTCTGTCCAGAAGCAGGCAGCAGCCAGAGCTCAGTATTACTGAAAAGAGTGGTTTGATACTGGGTCTGGAATTTCAAGGTTGGGCCCTGAAACACGATAAGGCACCTAGAGAGTAAAGGCTCTGCGGACACTGGAACATACATTTCACAGAACAAAGGGGGGTGTAGGGGGCAGCGTGCTAGGCGTAGGGCTGTTAGGCCCATCACAGTAGTATCACATTCCGGATATGTAGCTGCAATCTTAGAGAAGTAGCAGGGAACAGGGTGGGGGAAATCTTCACAGCAGCGCTGGCCCCTTGGCAACACATGGAACAGAAGCAAAGAGCTGTCGTCCATCGAGTTCCTTCGGTGGGCGGCCAGCGGGCGGGTTGGTGGGTGGGCTCCCAGCTGCAGAGCAATGGTTCATGTAGCTAGCCAAGATGAAGGTTGCCTCTGCAATCTGCACATAGACAAAGGAACTGAATTAGGGGCTGGAGTAGTAGTACAGCGTGTAGGGCATTTGCCTTGTGTGTGTGGCTTGACCAGATTCAACCCCTGGCACTCTGTGTGGTCACCTAAACACTGCCAGAAGTGATCTCTTAAAAAAATATATATATACACATATAATATATATATATATATATATATATATATATATATATATATATATATATAGTTTTAGGGCCACTCAGTGGTGCCCAGGGCTTACTCTTGGTTCTGGGCTCAGGAATCACTCCTGGTGGTGCATCAGGGACTATACAGGGTGCGAGGGATTGAACCTGGGTTGGTCACATTCAAGGCAAGCACCTGCCTACTATATTATAACTCAGGCTGTCAGGAGTGATTATTTTTTTAGTTTTGGCCCACATCCAGCAAGAGGTGCTCAGAGGTCACTCCTAGCTCTATGCTCAGGAATCAGTCCTGGTGGTGCTTGGGGGACCATATGGGATGCCGGGGATTGAACCCAGGATGGCTGCATGCAAGGCAAACGCCCTCCCCACTGTGCCAGGAGTAATTTCTTGAGTGCAGAGCCAAGATTAAGACCACTGAGCACCACTGGGTGTGGCCTCCAAACAAAAAAGGAAATGGACTGAATCGTACAGACAAGGTGTCACATAACTTCCGTGGGCTTCTCGTACCTCTTACAGCACCCACCCGGAAGAATATGTCCAAATGGGTCATCCCCATTTGGCCTGGAGGTGCTCAAGAGGCACCATCCCTCCTGAAGAAAAGATGAGCAACATTCCACTCTGGCCATTGCTAAGCCAAGGAAGGGGTCTCTCTGGGTGGAGAGCTCAGTCTTCGCAGATTTTGTTGCTAGTCAATATTCCCTGTACTAAGTAGGAATGAAGCCCTTAAAAGTTGTCTTTGGACCTTCCTCAAGCCCATAAGGAAGAGGGAAGCATGTGCAGATTTTCTCATTCTGTAGCTAGTGCTCGGGCCAGGGGAACTCAGGAGAAGGTGGGAGCACCTTGCCTTAGACTGAGTCTGGAGCACAGAGGAGAGCAATGGGCACCTGGCTCTGGCCTGTATGGTGGTGAGACTTGAGAGAAGGATCAAGACTGCATAGGGCTGGACAGACAGTATAGCAGGCAGGGTGCTTGCCTCGTTTGCATTCAGGTTAGGTCTCCAGCACCCCATATGGTAACCAAGCCTGCCTGAAGTAAAACCAGAGCACAGAGCCAGAAATAAGCCCCGAGCACCACTATGTGTGGCCCCCAAACGAACAACAACAAAAATCACAAAGAATGAAGTCGTAGATGGCCCCACTACCTACCAGCCCAATACGACTACTGATGCAGCTCCATCGGAACCATTTGCAAAACTGCTTTTAAATGAAGCAGTTTTGGGACCTTCCAAATAGGGTCCTTCCAAAAGTACTGTCATAGCCCCAGGTTTGTTTTTTTTTTCTTTCCCCTAAGCATTAAGCACACTTCTTACCAGATCAGCGTCAATTTTTTTTTTTTTTTGCTTTTTTTGGGTCACACCTGGCAATGCTCAGAGGTTACTCCTGGCTCTGCACTCAGGAATTACTCTTGGCGGTACTCAGGGGACCATATGGGATGCTGTGGATTGAACTCGGGTTGGCTGCATGCAAGGCAAACACCCTACCCACTGTACTATCACTCTGGCCCTCAAATGTTTTAAGAGCCATCAAACTCACCTTGGGAGCAGCCATCCGGAAGATCAACTTCTCAATGTGACTTTTTCCAGAGTTCTGGTCTGGAGTGGATCTAATCACAAGCATGAAGTCATCCCGGCAGCCACCAAAGGTCATCACGGAAGAGTAGGGGTAAGTGACGTGCACTTGCTATGGGAAGAAGCCAGTAAGTGCTGGGAGCTTTTCTACACATCTCCTGAGTAAGAACCAGCACCTCCCGTCTACTAGACCATGGGGACAGAACTTGGATGTGGTCATTGGATAGCAACACCTTGACTAAGGGGGTGTCTAAATAAGAGGAAAGCAGTGCTTGGGCAGGAGTGGGGAGTAAGGGGGACAGTTGCTTAGCTCGGGCCTTTCAGTCCCAAGAGAAGAAATGTGTGAGGCTCAGGTTTCAATCCCTGGTATTGCAAAATAACAACAACAATAACAATAGTAATAGTGATAAACAAACAAACAAGAAAAGGTAAAAAAGCCAAGTGAGCCAGCCCTCATCCATCCATACCATAGTGTTGTGGTCCAGGATACTGACACCGTCTTCATTTGCAGCAATCCACACCAGAGTCTTCTCCTTGGAAGACATCAAGGCAGGCTAAAGAAAAGAGAAAAGTTCATCAGATGCGTCCACATCAGCTTGAGATTCTGAACCGTGAAGAAAGTACACACAGGGCTCTGCTAGGCAGCGATTTCCAACCTTTCCCTCTTCTTGGGAAATAGAAAATGATATGTGTATAGGATGTGGGAGTCAACAGACAAGGTTACTGACGGCAGGAAGCGTCTGGCCATGCACTAACTATCCCAGAGGTGGAGGGCTGCAGGGCCTCTAGCCCACACTGTCTGGACACTGGCCGGGAAGCCCAGCTGAAAAGCAGAGGCAGCTCTGGCTACAGGGTCAGGCATGGAGGACAGGCAGCTTTCTCTGGATCCTTCTGGCCCATGGGAATGGGCAGGGCTGCACCCACACTCTCTTCCAGCTGATGTGTACCTCCCCTCAAGTAATTTCCTAAGGACTGTAAAAGGAATAAGAAAGTGCATTCTTTATTTTTTTTTAAAGTTTATTCTAATTTAGGTAACGTGTTATAATGCTGTTGACATTCATGGTCTTGGAGTATCATTACTTCATCTCACCACCACCTAAAGTGCCCGAGACCCCACCCATGTTCGTGGCACATTTTTTCCACCCACTCCCCCTCCCCCCAATCTCCTGTTCTCAATTTGTATTCCAGTACCCGGAGTTTGTTATCAATTGATTGATTACCCCCTTCTTTTGTTTCCCTACGCACCATAGATCAGTGAGATTGGGTGTTAATCTTTCTCCCTCTGGCTAATTTTGCTCAGCCGGACACCCTCCAGTTCCATCTGGGCTGCAGCAAACTGCATGATTTCATTTTTTCTTATAGCTGCCCATTAAAAATGTCAGGCTCCAGCAGTGAGAAAAAGACTATTTGCTGGACAGTTTCTGGAGTGACTGATGGTTACTTGGCAGGACTACAGAAAGATAATCCAGATTTATTTCCTCTCTTACCCAGATGGCAGTGAAAAAGATGGACTAAGCCTTTCCAGAAACTGTCCCTATCCTTCCAGACCAAGCAGATTCTGCATCATATGCCTCTGTAATACCCTTGCACCTTCTTTCTCCCTTCAGGCACTTGTGACAGCTTGTACAAACTTCTATGAACACTTAGAGTGGGCGTGCCTGGCCAATATGTCTCTTCCTCGCTGGATGGAAAGCTCTGTGAAGGCAAGGACAATCTGATACATTCACCTCCTATAATTTCCAACTGGCACAGTGCACCAGACATGATAGGAGTGCGCAAACAGTTCTCTGTTGAACGAACAGCTGAATGAGCACTATCTAACCTGCACCTCCAAGTGGACAGGATTATTGCAATGTTTTCTGTATAAGCATCCAGCAAGAAGTTCTGCTGAAATTATTACTGAACACCATTAATGTATGTGAAATTGTTTCCTGAAGAGTTATATTCTCTTATGCCATTCTAAATCTTTAGAAATGTCTTTACTGTTATACAAATTTTTTATTTTTGAACCCTTTTTTATTTTTAAATGAAATCATTCTTAACAAGGATGTCATATCAAGTCTGTATGAATTAGTTGATCCTGTCTTTCTTTTCAGGGGCAGCATTGAGAAAGAAGTCAAGAAAGAAGATGATGAGGATCACTCAGAAATAATCCTCTGAGGCTGGAGTGACAGTACAGCAGGTAGGGCATTTGCCTTGCATGCGGCCAACCGGGGTTCGATCCCCAGCATCCCATATGGCCCCTCAGACACCTCCAGGAATAATTCTTGAGAACAGAACCAGGAGTAACTACTGTGCATTGCCGGGTCTGATCCAAAAAGAAAAAAGAACCCTCACCCCAAACCAATGAATCACAAGAGCTGTGGACCAGAAATGAGTGGAGAGACTGCGACCCCTGGTGGTTCTGGGTATGTAGGCAGGCACTGCAGCCTGGGCTGGCTTAGGAAGGCAGCTCCTAGAGAAAGGCAGGCTAAGGCTGAGGGTGTGCGAACTCCTCCCTCTCCTCAGGCACTTACCTGAGCAGCAAAGAGCTTAGCACCAAAGAAAGGCCATTTCCGGGCCACTGTCAGGTAGATGCGGATGCACTCAGGAGGGGAACAGCCTTGCAGCGCAGCCCACTTGGTGCTCAGCAGATCCGCCAGGTGCCTGGTTTGGGTGGGTGGAAAGGATGGTGCCGGTGCAGTGCCAGCACGTTTGCATGCCCACTCTGCAGCCCAAGCCTGCCCACCATGACTTCGAGCCCCGGCACCATACCTCAGTTGTTCAGGGGGGGCTCCGTGTCTATAGCGTCTTGGGTAGAACCTATCTAGGACCTGCTGGAGGTGGTGCTGAACCTTGGCAGGAGGAATGCAGCTGGGACCCAGCGAGGCGGACCTCTCCAAATCTCCGTATTCCACCTGTGGCGGAAGCACACCAAAGAACCAGTCAAGACTCTGGAGGGGAGCAGGTGGCGGTGCCAGGGACTCTCAGGAGAGGTGAAATAAACAGCCGAGCTGGAGCGATAGCACAGCGGCAGGGTGTTTGCCTTGCGCGCAGCCAGCCAGGTTCGATTCCTCCACCCCTCTCAGAGAGCCCGGCAAGCTACTGAGAGTATCTCGTCTGCATGGCAAAGTCTGGCAAGCTACCTGTGACATATTCAATATGCCAAAGACAGTAACAACAAGTCTCACGATGGAGACATTACTGGGCCCGCTCGAGCAAATCGATGAACAACAGGAGGACAGTGCTACAGTGCTACGATTACTGTATTCGCGGGGTGTGAATGTATGTGAAAAACATTTCTCACAAAGCCACTATATCAAGCTTCAGAGACACTAGAGCAGCAGCCTTGAGGTTCTAGAATATTAGAGATTGTCTAAACCAACTTTCATTTGCAGCTGAGGTTAAATGGCTTATATAAAGACAGTTAACACCAGACAAAGAGAATCAATGTATTCTTGCTTCCAATTAAAAAATACGGGACACAGAACTGAAGATGCTGCAGATTCCGGAGTTCGGCAGAATGCTCCAAACATGACCTCTGGAGTCAGTCCCAGGTCTCTGCCAGTTTTGTGACTGCTATCAAGTTACTTAAACTCTCAAGAGTTTCAATTTCTTCATTTATTCAGGGGGGATGAGAACTGACTGGGATAATACAATATGTTTTGCATGGGCTTTCTATAAAATAGTCAATAAATATTTATTATGCTAAAGATCAATTGCCCTTTCCCCTTTTTCTCCAGCAGATCCAGACTCCTATGGAGACTACGAAATTCTCCCTTGGACAATGTGGCTTCCTAAAAGTAACAGGAATAAGAGTGCAGTATGAATGTGTGTTCTTCAATATTTTACTGTGAGAGTTCTAAGGGCCTGTTTCACCCAATATAATATGAAGTACACAGCAGCAGTTTCAACCACTGATCTGCTCACCACTCCCTATTCACGGAAGAAGAAGCTTGAAAACAACTGGCACACACGAACTATTGGTATAATCCTAGGAGGACAGGCCTGGAGGTATTCTTGTTTTCAGTATACAGAAAAGGACCTGAAGCATACACAAGTGGGGGGACTTGGCCAACATATTCCAGTAGGAATGTGACAAGCACTTCAACTCAGGCCTGGATTCCAAGTCCAGTGTCTGGCATGTGCCTCTATTCTCAGCAAGGATCCGCGGGGAGAAGAGTCGACCTCTCTCCACAGCCAGGGATAGCAAGGGCACTTCTGCACAAGATCTCTTGCATCTCCTGTGTCTCCATTTCACCTTTGTGCCCAGACAATGTCCTGCCCCTTGGGGCCGCGCAGGGCCTTACCTGGGCCATTAGGGCAGCCATCTCCAGAGCCAGTTCCTTGTTGACAGGGAACCTCCCTGACACTATCTCTCCACTTGTCTGGGAAGCAAGCAGCAGTCGTTCTCGCTCCGTCTCCCCTTTCACTTGACTCCGAAAGTACAGCCTGCAGGGAAGATGAGGCCCCAGAAGCTGGGACTCAATCCCAGACAGAGGAAGCCTATTTATTCTCGTTTCCAAAACAGGTTTATTCACTACACCTGTTTATTCTGATTTCCCAAAACAAAAGTGACTCTTTTGATACCAGTCCTCAGCCTGTTTTCTATTGCCTCCAGGAAAAATTAATGAATCTGGACGTGGGGCAGATACAGGCCATCTGCTCTATACCAACAGCGGCACATGGCTTATTCTGAACACACCATTAGGCCCACTGGATTTGGTGAGGGGAACCTGGTGCCTGTTATCAAAGCTCTAGACTCATGTCTGGCCAGCATTTGGGTGCATAGAATGAGCTTCCCTTACCCAAGTCATTAGGGAAACAGGGTGACTTAAGATTATAGGAAATTATTTGGAGATATATCTGGAACAAAATTTTCTCATTGATTAAAAAAAAAGTCTCCTGAATTTCCTGGAGAAACTCTTTATTTGTTAATAAGTATCTAAAATATCTTATCTCCTATAAAATTTCCGTCTTCTAACATAACACATGGGGCTGGTCTTCTGCCTTGTAGGTGAGAGTGCATGTATGTGTGTGCACTTGTCGTGTGGGGATAGAACCGAAGCTGACAGATAGCAGCAGTTCAAGCCCCCAGCTAATGGTCACCACCCAGTATTCCTTCTCTGGACCCCTGTCCTTTCTGCAGGACAGCTGTCCACGTGGCAGCCCACCCGCTCGCCCCACCTCGGGAAGTTCTCAGGACCTGTTCTTGTACATCAGCTTCACGGTGCGTGTGCCACCCTCAGACTTCCCGGAGTGCAGCTCCTTCAGGGCCTGTTCCCATTTGGAGATGGCATCACAGATCTTGAGGAGGCAAAGGGGAAAGTCATAAAAGGCTCTGGTCACAGGCGCAGAGTCCAGCCAGGGCAGAGAGGAGTGACTGTCCTTAGCTGGGAGGCTCCCTAGTGGGGTCTTATGCTTTGGGAACCATGTTCGCTGCCCTGGGCCAGCAGAAGCAGCTAAGCAAGAAACATTACCCCCCTAACATCCCAGGGGGCTTCCCCAAGGTGCACAGCAGGCCCCTGGCCACCTGTCACTGGCCCCATTTCTATTCCTGACCCCCATTCTTTTCAACAAATAGACCCAGAGTTCTGTTGTGCAACAAGCTTCACAGATAAGGTGTGTGGCGCAGTCCCTGTAGGCCATGATATAAGGCTAAATAGAAACCAGTGTCCTGTCACCATAAAGAAAGCAGATACGAGGCATTTGCCTTGCACGCAGCCAATCCAGGTTCGATTCCCAGCATTCTATATGGTCCCCCGAGCACCGCCAGGAGTAATTCCTGAGTGCATGAGCTAGGAGTAACCCCTGTACAATGCTGGGTGTGACCCCCCCCCCCAAAAAAAGCAGATATTTGCGCCAAACCCTGCCTCAAGGACTCTAGTACACCCCACAAACACTTCATATCTCCCAGAGCATGAAGCCTAACCACAGTGCAACATAGGTCTCAACCCCCCTGCCAGGGCCTTGGTTTGGGCATACCAAAAGGACCTGTCTTTTTATTATTTGGTTTCTGGGTCACACCCGGCAATGCTCTGGGGTTATTCCATGCTCTGCACTCAGGAATCATTCCTGGCAGGCTCGGAACCATCTGGGATGCCAGGACAGAAACCAGCCTGCTGTGGGGAAGGCAAGCACCTTACCCACCTGACTATCTCTCCAGCCTTGTACTTGTCTTTTCAAAATGTTGGAACCTGTAAGCTCTCAGACAGGGTGAAAACAAGGTGCCAGGCATTCTTCCTTAAGAGTTACCGACACCCCAACTTGGCGGCTATAATTCTTAATTCTTTTTATTTTATGAGGTTCTTCCCTCCATTATTCCTTCCCTTCTCTCTCCCTTCCTCCTTCCCTTCTTTCTCTTCTCTTTCTCTCCCTTCCTAAATAAAATAATTTTCTTCATTAAAAAAACCAAACCAAACAAACAAAAACTTAAAAACCAGGTGCCAGAGAATGATACAGTGTCTGATGGGTCTAGGCTCACAAAACTGGCAGAAAATTTGGGGCTGCTGCTAAGTGTCTGCATGTCCTCCCTAGTTCAAGCTCAGAAGCAGCTCCCCCCACCCCTAATGCTGCAGTCATTTTAGGGGGACCTTGGGAAGGGGTCCTGCGATTGCTGCAGGACAAAGGCACAAAGGATTTTTTCTGCTGTCTAGGTACCTTCTAGGGTGGCATAAATGCTGCTCCAGAGAGCACCTTGATCTCAGCACCAAAGAGAACACAAGTAGCACCCACTGGGTGGACACTCCCCCGCACCCCAAGCCTGGCCAAGGCTCCATTACTGTGGAGGGGACGCCATCACCTTGACAGTCCCCTGCAGGCAGTGTTCCACGTCCCTGCCTGAAGGGTCGTCCATGAAGAGGGCAAAGCCGGAGCGGGAAGATTTCCTCATGCCTGTCTCCTGGTTCAGCCGCTGGAGGAACTCATCAACGGTCGAGGAGCCGTCGAAACCCACCACCTGCAGGGAGAGGCCACCTGTGCCCGGGGTCTCTCAGAGCGGGCTCGGCAGGGACTAAGTGGGGGACCGTGAGGAGCAATGGGAAGAGGCCTGGCTGAAAGGAGCAGTGGTGAGTATGCGCCAAAGGAAGTGAGCGTTCCATTCTCACATAGCGGCCGAGTGCTAGAGGGGCAGCTGCCCACTAGAGGCCAGCATACGACAATTCTGTCTTGTACTCTGCTTGACCTCTATATCAGGCTCCTTCCTGAGGTCTGTCAGCAGCTCAGCCTTTCTGTTCATGCAGTGGGTTCGACAGATCTGCATTCATAGCATCAAAGACAGAACCGCCCACTAGGAGCGGCAGCTCCCTTCTCCCTTCATCAACCTCCCACCCCTGTTTCACGAGCTTGTCAGGTAAGAAGCTCAGATGGTCAAGCTCAGATAAGCCTAGTTCCCACCAGGGCCAAAGCAATTCTCTGTGCCAGTGACAGCAGCAGACGGGCCAGGGCGCAGCCGGGACCACTCACCTGGTAAGTCCCATTGGCGAAGTGCACGGGAATGCTGAAGGGCAGGGAGTGGTGGAAGGGGTTCCGCAGCAAGATGGACACCACCTCCATGCGCGATGGCCTGGCTTCCCGCTCCCCGGTCTGCAGGGTCCGCTCCACTGCCCTCTGGCAGTAGGTGGCATACTGGCCAGTTTCATTTCTCAAAAGACAAAGGTGAAGGGACTTCTAGGGTACCCGCTCATTCCTGCCGCTGGGACATTCCGGCTCTCTACCCAACTCGGTGAAGACCAGAGCTACAAGCCCAGACTCTGCTCCGACTGTGTTTTATCAGAACCAAAGTACTGCAGAGAGCTGCTGTGGATATTGTCTCCAGAGGCCAGAAAACCTCAGCAACAGAATAACAACCCGGGACCATCATGGGGAAAATGGAGCTTCATGTGAGGACTCCGGCATAGCAGCCATGCATCTATGGGTAAGCAGGGAAGTCCAGGCACGCCCAGATTTCCACGTGCCCATGTGTGTCCCGGGCTAGCCCCCTCTCCCCCACGTCCCTCCCGATCACGCTGCTGTCAGCAGGACGAGGTAGGCAGAGGAGATGTTTACTCACCTGGGATCGGCATGACGCTGGAGCTGCTGCTTGACATACCAGAGGAAGTGATGCTGAGGAAGGAAGAGGGGGGCACACAGGGCCAGGAGCTGCCAGCACTGATGGGGGAAAACAGAACGCAGGGTGAGAGCTGGCTCTGGGCTACTGAGCTCTCAGTCTTCCCTTTTCTCAGACAGAGCCCCCAGCCTGCCGTGGGGACAGCGAGCTGGGCGAGGCCGTGTCCGGAATAGCAATCACAGTGTCTGTACGCAGACACCCAGCCTGGGCAGCTGTCCCGCAGCAGCTGGGAGCCTGGCCTCTCCCTCTGCCTGGGCAGCACCTGCTAACCCCCAGCCGCTATGGTGCCCCAGGGACGCCCACCTGCATCAGGGAGTACTTCTGCGGGGGCCGGCAGCTGGCCTGCTTCATGAGCTGGCAGTAGATCTCACTCTGCAGCTCGGGGTGTGCCAGGCAGACCTGCAGCGCCGTCTGGGCGAGAGACACATGGTAGTCCACCGAGGCAGCCTCCACGGGCACGTTGATGAAGAGCTGGCAGGACTGCAGGGAGAGGACAGTGGGCAGCCTGGCACAATGCCCCTTCATTTTCCTGTGTGTGTGTGTATGTGTGTGTGTGTGAATGTGGATGTTAGTGTGTGTGAATGTGTGTGTATCTGTGTGTGTGAATGTATGTGAGTGTGTGTGGGTGTCTGTGTATGTGTGAATGTGTGTGTATGTATGTGTGAGTGTGTGTATGTGAGTGTATGTGTATGAGTGTGTGTGTATGTATGTGTGTATTGTGTGAGTATATGTGGGTGTCAGTGTGTATGTGAGTGTGTGAGTATGTGTGTGTATGTGAGTGTGTGTATGAGTGTTAGTGTGTGAATGAGTGTGTGAATATGAGTGTGTGTGTATGTGAGTATGAGTGTGTGTGTGTGTGTGTGTGTTTGTCTGTGGTGAGATCCCGAGGACATGACTTAACACTATTTGGCTAGCAGTGCTTGGGGCCACCAGAACCCCCTGGTGGTGCTCAGGGACCATGTGGTGCTGGGGACCAGCCTCTGGTATGTCAAGGCCTCAAGCATGCCACGCAGGTTGTCCAGCCCTTTCTAAGTGGGAGCACTGGTACCGCTTGGGCACGGACACACTTGCCAAGAAGGGCGACCTTGGGAGGGAGTCTTCCCATCACAGAAGCCTCCATTCTGTGGGCTGCTCGGATGCACAGAACCCTCTCAGCTAGGTCTGCCTCTCTTAGGAGCAGAAGCAACAGGCTCAAGGGTCACTACAGCAGTGGGGGCTGGGGAGAAAGCCCCAGGGCTTCTGGCCTGGCACCCTAAAGTAGGTGGTAAGGCGTGGGGGGACCCTGTCCTTTCCAGATTCTCTGTGGGACAGCCACAAACCGCACAGGTTGTCCACACTCAAGGAACAGCAGGTGGAGGGCCATGCCTGGGCACACGCAAGGGCACCCTAGGGGCGTGGGTTCTGCTTCCACTTTACCTTGAAGAGCTTGAGCGCCTCAGTCTGCAGGGCCTCAGAGGGCAGGGTGGTGAGTGGGGCCAGCAGCCCGTCTTTGCTGTAGCACAGCATGGGGTGCCTCCAGAGTGGGGAATCTGCCGGGAGCACAGTAGCCCTTACTCTCATGCCAAGATGCACCCCCCCGCCCCGCCCCACTTGGATGTGAAGAACAGAGACTTGGGAAGCGGGGTAGGCTAGGTTTACCACCCAGCAATTGACCAATTGGGAGGCTGCCCTGGCGGTGGGCATCCTCACAAACAAGGCTTGCAAAGGTGGCTGCCACATGACTCTCGAGGCTGTGACAGGTGAGTGTGTGCCCGTGGGCCTGAATTCACACACGTGTGTGCAGACTGAGCACTGAATGAGGCATGCATGGTGTGCAATAGCAGTCCTCCCCCCCCCCGCCCCCCCCGCCCCGGGTCCTGACAATCGGGGCAGACTCAAGATCCTAAAACACTCCAGGCTTAGTTTTGCCTAGAGGTTCCTAAATTAACTAGGTCTACCATCCCCTTTTTCAGGAAAAGAAAAAAAAAATCACTCAGTGCCCCATGGAATCTATCTTCTTTAAGTGAACAAAATAGCAATCACCCACTGACTGTGCCTGAGGCCACTACTGTCCCCCTGGATCTTTCCAGGGTGGTGGCGGTGGTGTCTCATTGACTCTGAGAAACACTGATGTAGTCTGAACTCAATTTGGGCCTCACTAATTGACAAGCAAACTCTAAAGATGAATCAACTACCTTCTTTCCACAAATCTCTTCCCAGCTAGCAAATTTATAGGTGGAATAAGACAAAACACTGACCCAGTTCTCTGGAAGGCCTGTTTCCCAGACACACACCCCCAGAGATTGAGTGATCACCCTCATATCATCACCAGAGAGAGAAACAGGAATGTGAAACTGGCATGTGAAAGAGGAAGACCCTTCTTCCTAACAACGTTAGGGTACAGCTGTGTTTGGTGTTGTTGTTGCGGGGGTTCTTGACCAATCCACCACTCGGACCCAAGTAGAAATGGCTACCCTTGCCTTACCTGGATTCCCCTCATCATCCATGAGTTTCCCAATAAGCTGCTCGTAGGTAGTGCCCACTTTGGCAGAGCTGCCCCCTGCAGCCACGGTAAGGTGGTAAAGCCACGTATCCTGGAAGAGTATGGAAAGCTGTCAGCAGAGTTGGGGAGGGCAGGGTGGAGGCAGATGCTCCACAGATGCTTCCCTGAAGGGGTCAGAGTCCAGGTGGAACCCTGACTTGTCTGGAACAAGTCAAGGCCCCAGAGGAAAAACTTGGGACCAGGGAACACCAATGCAGGCATCTCTGTCTGCATTTCTTTCCTGGCCCCAGTGCAAAGATGGGGGAGAGGGGGTCATCACTGGAAGTTAATTCACTGACAGGAATATTTCTGGCCAAGTAAGTCTAGTACATTGCCAAGATGCCAGAGAGACATAGCCTGGATTTTAGGAAGCTCCAAGCAAAGAGGGAAGGGAAGAAAAGAGTCCTAGGGCCAAGCTTGCCCTGTGGACACCAGTCCCCTCTCTTACCTTTTCATGCTTGGTGCCAATGAGCAGGTAGGTGGGGCTGTGCTCCGGGGGGTGGATCACCAGGGTACAGTGGGAGGATAGTAACCGCCCAGTTCCTCCAGCCTCGTAGTCCTCATCCGAGTCACATGATCGATCGACTTCCTCTATGTGCGCGTCCCGTATAGGCAGGCGGCCCAGGGGGCGCTGGGGACAGGGGCCTTCCATGAAAGAGGCAGCCAGCAGGGGTTGGGAAAGTTTCCTCTAACTCCTCAGGTACCCATGGATGGGGACAGATGACAGGAGAGGGTGACGGTGATCCCCAGGCTGGAGTTTTCTCAGAGAAACAGATCGTCAGCCGAGGTAGAAGCCACAGACCATGAGTAATGGTCATGCACTCTGGAAGGATCCAGCCAGCTGGCTCTGCACTTTTGGGGTGAGGTGGGATGGCAGGGAAAACCAGGACCTTCTTGGGAAAAGCAGGGATGGACAATGTTGGGAGAGCAGAAAGTACCTTGTCCTCATGACTCCGGTAGTAGTAGAACATTCTCCCAACGAGAGCACACCAGACCAGCTTGGAGTGGCCATGCTTTACCTGCAGGACAGAAATGAGCCAGGTGAACTCAGACGCAAATCCAGGACAGGCAAAAGAAGCCCCTGGGAGGGCACACCTCAAATGCAACCTACTTAATGGAGATGCCACCCAGACATGCCCTTCACAGCAAGGAGCCATGGTGTGTCCCCTATAATGTTCCATCCATCCTTGGACAAAGTGCCATTAAAAGATCCACCATTACAACCCTGTAACTGTGTATCTCACAGTGATTCAATCAAAAAGAAAAACAATTAGTGTGACCCAAGAGAGACACTGTTCTGGAATATGGTCACGGGAAAAAAAAAGCTTGAGTTATAAGAATGCTAAGAGGGGGTCCAGAGAGATAGTTTAGGGGTTAAGGTGCTTGCCTTACATGCAGCGGACCCCAGTTTGGTCCACGGTACACACACATTCCCCTGAGCACCACTGGGAGGGATTCTGAGCCTAGAGCCAAGGGTAGCCCTGAAGCACTGCTCAGTTCCCCCAGGCCATCCTCACTGTCACTGTCACTGTTCTCCTGCTGTTCATCGATTTGCTCGAGCCAGCCCAGTAACATCTCCACAGGCCATCCTCACCAAAACAAAAAGAGAATGCAGAGAGGGAGGGAAGCCATGGGCAAGTGTGAGCCGTGAGAGGACAGCAGCGGCCCCCCCAGGCAGAGCAGAGGGAGGCGAGCACAGGCTGAATTGGGGAGCCGAAGCCAGTGAGCGCTGAGCTCCCACACAGGCTTTGCTTGCAGAAGGGGCTCTCCCTTGTCAGCGCCTGTTCCCAGGGTACATGCATCTTTGCTCCTTAATACGAGAAGATCCCGAAAGGTAATGTCCTTAGGCACCTGGGATAGTATCAGTCTCTGTGGTCATGCGACCTCCACCTGAGTCACCGCCTCCCACATTCAGTAGCAAGGTTCGGTGGGTACAGGTGGGGGCAGGGACAAGACATTTGTTTCCTTCCTCTGTCTTGACAATAGCCAATAGTGGCTGCAGTTCGGCAACCCGGATACCTGTTTCTAGAGTCACGGTTAGACGGAGTTCACCCAGCTAACCACAGTGAGGACATGCCTAAGCCCAGCACCCCTTGGCACTCTGGCTCCCGGCCCCCCTCCAGCCCCCTCTCCCAGCCCCATCCATACCTTGGTCAGCCAGCCCTTCACAGTGGGCTTGGTGGCACCCTGCAGCGGGCCAGGGGGCCCAATAGCCTGCACTTTCAGCAGGTTCTGCAGGATCCGGATCCACTCCTCCAGCACGTTAGGCGAGTCAGCTGTCAGGTAGTAGGTTTTCTTCTCGGAGATGAGCTGTGAAGGCAAGATGCGTGAGGCATCGGGCACCAGAGCCAGGAGAAAAGAGAAAGGAACAACAGGGACCTGGCTCTCAAGTGGACCCATCCCTAAACTGCCTAAGGCCTTCCTTCTTTCCACCCTGGCTTCCTTCCCTTTGTTTCCTCATCCTTCTCTCACAGTCTCTTCCATCTGCACTCCCTGTCTGACATCGGCCTCTTCTTTCTAGAGCTCACAAATTCAGGTGAAGGTCCACAGGACTGCTATGATGTCTCTCCGATGTGCTTATTTCACCCCAACTTTGTCTCCATTGCAATCAGATCCAAATTCAAACCCGGCACTCTAGCTGCAAGGACTATGTTCACCTGGAAAGTCTGGGCATCCTCCCCACGAACAATTTGGCAACGGGAGTTCAGTTCCACTTGGCCTTGAGGTTTCCGGATGACGTCATTCTGAAGTAAAAGGAACAGGGAGGAGAGACTTTGGTGTGTGTGGCCTTTCCAGAGCACATCACGTTTTCTCCTCTAACTCCAGGTCGTGGGCAGGAATGGGGCTGGTACTCCCCAGTCTCCCTGGATTAGGTAATGGGTAAACTGACTCTGGATCCTGTTTTGAGCTAAATGGGGCAATGATTAGAAACTTGGATCCTTCTGGCCAAGTCTCAGAAAGAACAGAGTGAGTCTTAAAAATTGGGTGAGAATTCATGGTGTTTCACAAAAAAAAAAAAAGGGGTAAGAAGTCATCAACTATTACTGAGCAATAAAGCCCTCAAATTCGGGGCTGGAGTGATAGCACAGCGAGTAGGATGTTTGCTTTGCACGCTGCCAATTCAGGTTCGACTCCCAGAATCCCATATGGTTCCCCAAGCACTGCCAGGAGTAATTCCTGAGTGCAGAGCCAGGAGTAACTCCTGTGCATTGCCAGGTGTAACCCAAAAAGAAAAAAAAATTAAAATAAAGTCCTCAAATTCTTTCTACTACATTCTTTATCCCATTTAGTGGCCTAGATACCACTACTACCCTTCCCAATGATACTGCAGACATCACTAATCAAAGCGCCTATTTATTGAGCAATACAGGCCCCCGACAGTGTTCAAGGTAAAGGAGCCACTATCTATCGCTGGGGACACAATGGGTATTATTATTGCTCTTCTTTTTTTTGTTGGGTGGAGGCGGGGTGGTGCAGAGGCATGCTCCTGAGCATTGCTCAGAGTGTACCGGGGCTACTTCCAACTAGGCCAGATGGTCCAATGCAGTGACACAGTGACACTCCACTGGGGTCACCAGGGCCACTCCCAGCAGAGCTTGAGGAGCCTCCAGGGCAATGCCCAGAAGCAGTCAGGGGTGGAAGGGGCAGGAATCAAACTCGGTTCTTCTGCATCAAGGCATGTGGTCCTAAGCACTAAGCTATCCCTATGTTCTCTTTTTTTCTTCTCTTTGAAATATCAGTCTTGGTTAAAAGGGGTCTGTCAAGTGAGGCATCTATAGGAAGGAGGTAGAGGAGGTAACGGGTCTGCTGCTAGAAAAACGCAGATGACCCAAGGGTAGCCTGGCCAGTTCTTTTACAGGGCCAGGAAGAAATCACCAATCTTTCGTGGTGAGAAGGAAAAGCAGCCTCCTGCGTCTCCTGGGTGGTCCCAACTCCTCCCGCTGGGCAGCCTTTTGCCCTGTTCCTGGACTGGGCAGTCACTCTTCCAGCTTCCCACACACACTCCTAGAGTCCTTTCAACCGCAGCAAGGAGGGGAGGGTCTCACCGGGGACTTGTAGTACATAATCTGCCCCTGTCTCAGGACAAACCAGCGTCTCTTCCACGTCTTCACCCGGCTCCCCATTTTCAGCAGGTAGCCCGACTTCTCCAGTGACTCCTTTAGGGGCAGGGAAGGGGAGAAGAGGGGTGGACCAAAAGAGGAAATCATTTGGGATTCCTGGAGGCCACAGAGGCCAACAGGATCCAGTTGACTCACTCTTGGTGATAACGGCACAAAATAATTGAGCACCTATGATGTGTGTGTTCAGAGAACCATGCCCTGTAAGGGTTCAGAAAGGCCTAGTTAAAGCACAGCATCCCAAGGGGAAAGGACCCTACTGGACAGTGCCTGACCACGCTGAGAAGGCTAGTGTGGCTGCAGTGGGGAGAGGCTGGCTGGGGAACAGAGCCGAGCTGGCCTTGGGAGAAACAGTCAGCCTTGGAGGAGGAGGAGGAGGAGGAGGAGGAGGAGGAGGAGGAGGAGGAGGAGGAGGAGGAGGAGGAGGAGGAAGAGGAGGAGGAGGAGGAGGAGGAGGAGGAATAGGAATAGAAGGAGAAGGAGGAGAAGGAGGAAGAGGAGGAGGAAGGGTGGAGGGGGAGGAGGAGGAGGAGGGGAAGAGGAGAAGGAGGAGGAAGAGGGGGAGGAGGAGGGAGGAAGAGGGGGAGGAGGAAGAGGAGGTGGAAGGAAGGAGGGGAGGAGGAGGAGGAAAGGAGGTGGAAGGAAGCAGGGGAGGAGATGGAGAGAAAGAAGAGGAAGGGGAGGAGGGTGGAGGAGGAGGGGAGGAGAGGAGGGGGAAGATGACACAGCCACATGGAGGAAAGTCTGGATGTGCGGCTCAGCCACGTGTCTGTGCCTCAAGTTTCTTGACCCTAAATGGAGAAATAACCAAGCATAGGGCCAGGCCCCGCTAAGCAGGGTCAGAGAGCATTAGGCCCCAGCACCTGAGGTCAGCGATGTGCTAAAGTGAGGGAACACGGTCAGACACCTCCGAGGACCTCTATCTTGAGATCCCCTGAGGAGTCACTGGAATGAGCAGCAGTGGGTGCAGTCAGGGGGTGCTTTCTGTTTGCTGACTGAAGGTAGGTTTGCAGAAGGACGCAATGATCATTCATGCCTGGAATGGGGTGGGAGGCCACCTAGGCCTGGGACCCTCTGCTAACCGGCCAGTTCTGCTTGGAAAAGGTGCTGGCTCCCTTTTCATGGGGTCTGTGTGCACAGAACCCATATCGACACAGCCTGGTCCCTTCCCTGGAGCTTCGCTCCTGCAGCCACCCCTCAGCCTCTCCCTTCACTCGCGCAGGGTGCTCACCCCGTTCAGACCCAGCCCCTCCGTGGAGTAGGACGAGGTGCGCTGCAGCTTGTGCTCCGGTTCCGAGTAGTCGCTGTCCAGCGAGCAGGCATCTGGGGGGATCGCATAGTCCCCCTCGGAGCTCAGTGAGGACATGGAGACACCTGGTCAAGGGAGGTGGTGTCGGGGTTCGGGTCCACAGAACTCCCAGCCCACTCCACACAGACACCAAATACCACCAGGAAACCAGACACTACACCCAAGGGCACTGGCCACCCCCACAGGCTCATCCCCCACGGGATGGGGAAGAGGTACAGGATGGGAAGGACCTGACATGGCGAAGCGTGGACGCGCAAGAGGTACAGTGACATGCACCATCTTCCTTGCTCACCTGGGCCCCCAAGTCTGGTGCAAAGCGCTCAGGGTTCAAGCAGGGACCCTTGGGTATACCTGGCATGGGTGAGCACAAGGACCCCTCACCGCCCCCCAAGTCCTCGCCTCCCCATCTCCATACCTCTCTTGATGGCCCGGGGGCTGCCCAGTCCACCCGTCTTCCTAGTCTCGGGGCAGGGGACAGAGATGCGGAAGCTGGCCTGGGAGCTGCAGTCATCATCGGAGCCCGAGGACTCGTCCACAAGGGGGACACTGCTGATCTTAGTGGCTTTCTGCAACACAGGCCCCTCCTGCTGTGTGGTCCAGGCTGCAGAACAGCCCTCTCCACCCACCCCTACATGCTGGGCCCAGGGGCCTTGGAGGCCGGGGCCAACACAGCTTGTCAGGGCACACAGACGCCATGGCCCGGTAGAGGCACTTAGCAGACAACTGTCCCCTCCTGACCTCCCTGCTACATCCTCCCCTCCCCGCTTCTCTTGGGCCTCTCTCCCCACAGCATCATCCACCAGGGCCCCTCAAGGAGCTGCTCCGGCCAGACTCTCCGGCTGGTCTTGGGGACCCTTGTTCTCTGCCATAGGGGCCACAATGCCACGCCACGGGCACGTGTGAGACAGGGGCATAAAAAATGGGAGGAGGGGCTGGAGTGATAGCACAGCGAGTAGGGCATTTGCCTTGTACGCGGCTGACCCGGGTTCCAATCCCAGCATCCCATATGATCCCCTGAGCACCGCCAGGAGTAATTCCTGAATGCAGAGCCAGGAGTAACCCCCGAGCATCACCAGGTGTGACCCAAAAAGAAAAAAAAAGGGAGGAAATAACAAACATTAAAAAGATTTTTTTAAAAAAAAAAAAGGCAATCTGATGTTGATGAAAATATGGGGAAAAGGAGAATTTGCAGTGAGAAAAAAATCCATTTGGGAGGAATTACCTCCTGCCCATCCTGTTAAACTTTTTTACCCAGGGGATGGAGAGATAAGTACCTAACACTAGGTGCCTGCACAAGGCTTACCTGGGTAATCCCTGGTACCATATGTGGTTTCCCCAAGTCCTGCCAGAAGTGATCCCTGAGGCAAAGCCACAAGACCTGAGCATAGCCAGATGTATCTCCCAAACCAAGAAAACAACAAAACCCCCCTTTTTTTTCCTTTTTTGGGTTACACCCGGTGATGCTCAGAGGTTACTCCTGGCTTTGCACTCAGGAATTACTCCTGGCAGAGCTTAGGGGACCATATGGGATGCCAGGGATCAAACCTGGGTCAGACTGCGTGCAAGGCAAACAGCCTACCGGTTGTACTATTGTTCCCCGGCCCCAACAAAACCCTTTTTAATCCATGAACTGGACCCCAAAAACTCTACTCCACAGAAATATGTATAAGTAATTGAACTAAATACATCTGCAGAGTGATGTCTGGATGGCATTTTAGAAACAAATAGAGACAAGACATGTCAATGAGTGCAGGGCAGGTTAACACGATGAAGCTGAAGCTGCATTTTATATTTCTCGCCATCGGGCGGCTTCATTAATACTGTTTGGCTTTGTGGGACAGTGTCGAGCTGAAAAGTGATATGAAATCTTGGCGAGGAGTGTGTTTCTGAAGCAACACTGTGGAACCGGCCCTGTAGGGAGACTCCCAGTGGTGCCCAGGGAAACATGCAGGGCAGGGTCTCATGCAAAACACCCAATCCGTTCACTAAGCATCTCCCCGGCCCCACAGAGGTTTCACTTCTTACTTGGTCCGTGACCATTCAGATTCAAATGTTTGTCAGTGTAGAATTTTCAGGATGAAAATCTAGTACGCAATGAAAGTCCGGAGAGGGCACTGGGATCCCTGAGCAGAGCCAGGTGTGTGTGGAAGCCTGGTGAGGGGCCCTGCTCTGGCCACTGCACACCAGGACAAGGGGCCGCCCCTTCCTCAGACAGCTGCCTCTTACCCCTTTCAAGGCGGTGTAGACTGGCACGGTGACACTCTTGTAGACAAGGCCAGAAAAAGGTCCAGGGGAGGCAAGAGCAGGAGGGCGTGAAGCTGGTGTGGAAGCAAAGTTCAACAGGGTTAACTTGGGAGGCACAGCTGGTGAGACGCATGCAGAGGCCGAGGGCGGGAGAGCAAGGGGACCCTGGGAGCAGCCTTCCCTAGTAGACTGTCTGACAGGTGACAGACCCCTTCTTGCCAAGGCAGTGACCAACAATGTGGCCAATGGGCTTTCAATCACTCTGGGAGTTCTTGGCTGTCCTGGGACTCAGGATGCCAGCACAGAAGGATACAGCTCCTGGGGCTGGAGTGATAGCACAGCGGGTACGGCGTTTGTCCTGCACGTGGCCGACCCAGGTTCAATTCCCAGCATCCCATATGGTCCCCTGAGCACCGCCAGGAATGATTCCTGAGTGCAGAGCCAGGAGTGACCCCTGAGCATTGCTAAGTGTGACCCAAAAAGCAAAAAAAAAAAAAAAAATACAGCTCCTTGACCTACAGTCTTGGCACCTCAGAAGGGAAGTCATTGTGCAGGTAGGGGGCTGTGTTAGAGGACCCACTTTTTTCTTTTTTGGGTCACACCCCGCAATACACAGGGGTTACTCCTGGCTCATGCACTCAGGAATTACTCCTAGCAGTGCTCGGGGGACCATATGGGATGCTGGGAATCGAACCTGGGTTGGCTGCGTGCAAGACAAACGCCCTATCCGCTGTGCTATCACTCTAGCCCCTAAAAGACCCACTTCTATGGTGGGGGTTCTGTAACTGACTGCGACCCCAGTCCCTTGCCTGGCCACCAGGCAGGTCATGAGCTGAGATGGTATCATTTTGTATTCCTTCGCAGGGCCCCGCTGTGAGTTCACCTCACTTCACAGATGAGGTGGTGAGGAATGCTGATGGAAGACTAAGCCTGGGGACCCTGGCTCAGGGTGCTGCTCGTTCTTCCACAGGCCCACCCTGCCCACCCGGGCACCTCGGGGAACTTACCGCAGCAGGTGACATTACTCCTGGGAGACACATCCGAGAGCTGCAGGCCTGATGTGGCCACAGCATAGATCCGGCTCTCCTGGAAAGAGAGTTCCAGGAGGGTCAGGACCCTTGCACTGAGGTGTGAGGGAGAAAGTACGGCTTTGCTGGTGAGCAGACCTGGGCCAGTTACTAGTGGGGAGGATCTAGGGCCAAGCTATATGGTTTTTGGGCCTCATTTTCCTCAGCTCTAACATGGCTGGAGCGATAGCACAGCGGTAGGGCGTTTGCCTTGCACACAGCCAACATGGCCGACCCGAGTTCGATTCCTCCGCCCCTCTCGGAGAGCCCGGCAAGCTACCAAGAGTATGCGATATGCCAGACACAGTAACAACAAAGTCTCCAATGGAGACGTTACTGGGCCCGCTCGAGCAAATCGATGATCAACGGGAGGGCCTTTACTTACTTACTTTTACTTAACATGGAAGTAATAATTCCACCTCACACAGTCATGAAATAAAATTATTAAGGTGAATATCTAACTCCCGGCACATAACTGGTACCCCACGGTTCTTCATTCCCTCTTGCTTCCACCCTGCCCTTGGTGCAAGGGAGTTCAAGAGGAGGGTCAGTGACCTGTTTCCCTGGAATCTTATTTCTGAGCCCTCGAGTCCCAAGGTGCAAGGTGATGACAACGAGGACCTCAGAGCCCCTTTGCTAGTCAGGGCTCACCAAGTCTTGCTAAACAGACTGTTTAGAAGTCAGGACACACTCTTTTTCCTACAATAATGTGTCATCAGGGTTAAGTTTCGGGGCCCTCCTACAAAGTCAACTGAGCTTCCCCAGGCCCCAGACCTCCTCCAGAGGAACTGCTACCCTCAACTTCTCCTTCAGCCCATCCTGGATTCCTGGGTCTTATGCCTCCCGCCCCCACAGGCCTGGGGAGGTTTATCTACAGGTTTTGATCACACCCAAACAACCCAGGAAGACAACAAACTTTCCACCTCCCCCTCTTAAGCTCTTCCTTATCTTTCTCTTCCCTAAGATAAAGAGAAAACAAAGGCCCCCCTCAAGTGACAGATTAAGTCACTAGACCAGAGGAAGTGACCTGGCTCATAAGGCAGTTGGGCTGGGGGTTGGGCAGAAGGGGGGGTTGCTATTGGGGTGTCACCTCAGACAAGAGGAGCAACACTGGGCAAGGGTGGGAGTGGGGAGCAGCTGACCATCCTGTAATTAGATTCTGAGACAGAGGAGGGATGGGGGTCCCAGGAAGGGTAGGAGGATGGATCAAGGGATTCTACTGGGTACCACTAGTAAAATTTAAGCACAGATGTCAACCAAGACAAGGTTGACATGTCAACCTCACTTCACAGATGAGGTGGTGAGGAATGTAAAAGTAAGTAAGTAAAGGCCCTCCCGTTGATCATCGATTTGCTCGAGCGGCCCAGTAACGTCTCCATTAGAGACTTTGTTGTTACTGTGTTTGGCATATCGAATACGTCACGGGGAGCTTGCCAGGCTCTGCCGTGCGGGCGAGATACTCTCGGTAGCTGGCATGTCAACCAAGACAAGCCTCTAATTTCACGAAGGAAATCAAAGTGAAGGAGAAGCAATTCGGGCTAAACAGAGATTGGAGTGTTTGACAAAGGGCTGCCCCTCAGAGGTGATTTTGAGGAACAACTGAAAAAGGGCCCTGCAAACTCTAAACTGGCAAGGCGGTGTATCTGAATCCCTGTGACTGAGGCAAATCCTCACAACTCCTCCATTCCCTGCCCCCATGGTCACTACCCAGGTAGCCCCACCTAGGGAGGGCGGGAGACACGCAGGAGAGGAGCTGTCTCTGGGAGCTGACACAGGCCAGCCCTGTATTTTGTTTGCAGCAGGAGAGAGCTAAGGCAGGGTCTCCTAAATGAGCTGGCAGATCCTGGGGGGTGGGAGAGGGCAGAGGAAAGAGCAGACTGGGGGTGGGGCGGGGCGTTCACCTATAGAGTTCAACCAACTAATGCTTCCATATGGGGTGGGAAGTCTCTGAAGCATTTTCTATATTTATTTGCTTTTTCTTGTTCTGGGCTGGAGCGATAGCACAGCCAGTAGGGTGTTTGCCTTGCATACGGCCGACCCGTGTTTGATTCCTCTATCCCTCGGAAAGCCCGGCAACCTACCGAGAGTATCCCGCCCGCACGGCAGAGCCTGGCAAGCTTATTCGATATGCCAAAAACAGTAACAACAAGTCTCACAATGGAGACGTTACTGGTGCCCGCTCGAGCAAATCGATGAACAATGGGAGGACAGTGTTATAGTGCCTTCTTATTCTATTTGTGTCTCTCAGGCTTTCATAGAACTCCTCTGGCCATCAAGGTGTTTGTATTTTGATAACATGGCAAAAATGAGCAGCACTCCTTCCTGGCAACACCCGTCCAGTCCTTCGGCCATGGGCATGGTGCTCCCTTGCCAAATGCTCTCACTACCCAAGAAAGCTTCCCACATCTTGTGCATGGCAAGGCAGAACAAGCGGGGGGATTCTGGAGAGTTCCAGCCTGGCCACTTCCCCACTTCTGCCCCTTTGCTCTTTCTGACCCTTCTGATCCAGGAGGCAGTACTCTGAGGAATACTAGGACTCTAGGGCACCGGGGCCAGTTGGCAGTCCATGCTCGGAAGCTCCCTGCCCAGCCCTGAGGACTCCACCAGGCTAGGTTCCCAGGCCCAGCTGAGCCGGCAGGAGGGTGCCTTGCAGTGCTAAGGACCAGGGGGGCTTCCCAACTACCAGCATTTCGTAAGGTTACCCTGGAAGGTGCTGCTGAAAAACAGGGCTCCCTGGTAGTGCTGTGGGGTGGTAGTGCCAATCTAATGGAAATCTCCCATTTTCCTCCACTGCCAGGAGCCCAACATTTACCCTCCCCCAGCTCCTGTGCTGTGCTGAGAAAGTGTGACAGGATTAAGAGATGGTGGGGTTGGGGCTGGAGTGATAGCACAGTGGGTAGGGCGTTTGCCTTCCACGTGGCGACCCGGGTTTGATTCCCAGCATCCCGTATGGTCCCCTGAGCACCGTCAGGAGTGATTCCTGAGTGAAGAGCCAGGAGTAACCCCTGTGCATCGCCGGGTGTAACCGAAAAAGAAAAAGGAAAAAAAAAAAGAGCTGGTGGGGCTGGGGTGTCCCCTCAGGCAGGACAGCTGGAGGAGGAGGGCTGGGCTCTGGGGAGGCCCCTCACTAATTTCACCTCAGTCCGTGGGGACAGCAGCTCCCTCCTCTGTGCTGGGGAGACCAGCTAAGTCTTCTCACAGAGATCTGTGGCCACCTCCCATGTCTGTTTCCGCTCTAGGTGAAGGAAAAAGTCCCAAAGCAAAGCAGAAAGAATAGTCTAAAGAATGGGCCTATCACTCAGTTTGCAACACAAAAGGCATGGCCAGACCTGTTTCATCGAAACCCCCCACTCCTACCTCAGAACACAGATGCTGGAGCAGCTCTACCAGGGTACCAAACCATTTTACCCAATTTCCTAGGGGAGCACAGACTCAGCGATCATGAAATCCACACACTTCCTGTCAACTACAGTCAGCATCTGCGCCACAGAACACATCTGATCCTCCCCAAAACTCTGGAAAGGGGGCACCAGTGTGCTTCTTGGCACAGAGAGGGAAACCGAGGCACAGAGGTGTAGTCCTTTGCCCAGGTCACCTGGCATTTTTCTTCTGTGCTCTTCCCCACCACACTGCCCCAGGGTCATGACAAGAACAAGTGCTGATGGGGGGACACCAGCCACTTCCCCCTCCTGGCTCTGCCTGGGGACAGAGTCTGAGCAGGCACAGGGGGTCCTGACTCCCCGGCCTCCCCAGCACATAGTCAGCCCGGCCCCTGCCCAGTCCCAGTCCTGCTCTTACCCATGATGGAAACCGGTGCAAGGGGGGTGTGGGCGGCTTGTTTCCCAAGTCCACTTCCTCCAGCTCCACGTGGGGGGGCTTCACAGGGCTCTCCCTTTCCTTCCTCCCTGCTGGCAGCTGCTCCTCCATCTCCATCCGCTCTGGCTCCTCTCGTGGCTCAGCCAGGGTCCCCACCTCAGGAAGCCCAGGGGTGTGAAGGGCTGAGAGGGCCCCGATCTCACGGCTCACCACGTGGCTAAAGTAGCCGGGGCAAGCCTGGGGCTGGCTGTGGTGCCGCCTGGCCAGCGGGAGGCTGTCGTGGGGGCTGGCGGGAGTCCGAGCCTTGGGCAGGGTCACACTGCTGCCAGGCCCGCCTTCCCCGACAGACGTCTTTGTCCCAGGGAAGGGCTGTCCCTGGGGAGCCACCAAGCCTGCACCCCAGGAAGCCAAACCATGTCTGGGGATGCACGGCGTCTTGTAGGGCTGGCTTGGGGAGCCCTCTCTTCTCAGACGAGGTGGAAGCGTCTGGGCCTTTGGGGGTTCGCCTTGGTGGGCCACGCTGAAGCGAGAGGCCTGCAGGGAGGTTTCTGCTCTGGGCTCCGAGTCCTTATTCTGCAGAGCATTTGGGGAAGGGGCCACCGCAGCCATCTCCAGGGTCACCTGGCCCTGAGGGCCATCGTTCTGCCCCATTGTTTGGGGAACTGGAACTGACAAGGCAGCATGTTGCTGTGGGGGTCCCGGTGGTTTCACCAGCCACTTTCCTGAAGGTGCCATCTGAAGAGCTGTAATTGAGGCAAAGGCAGGCATGCCAGGGCAACCTTCACTCACCCGTGCTCCCCCACACATGTCCACACACCCCTGGCTGACTTACCTTCCAGGGCAACTTGGAGGGCCCCCACCTGCTCCTCCAGCTGCTGATTACAGCTCTTCAGGTGCTGATTCTCTGTCTCAAGCTGCACAAAGTAGAAGAGGGAAGCTCTCAAATACACCGTCAGGGAACGTTCAGAGAAGACGCAAATTAGAGAACGTAAATGAGAGAACTCTAACCCTGAGAGAACTCAGAATTAGACCAAAATCCTCATTAGAGATCCAATCTTTACAGACCCTCCCCAGAGCCTGGCCCCCTCCCTCTGAGCGTCTGGTTTTAGTTGGGATGGAATTCCACCTGGCAGCCTCGGAAGCTCCTTTTCTAGTTATTGCTAACCGTTTTAGAAGTCACGGAATGCAATACATAGATAGAAAGTGGCATGCCATGGCAGCTTAACAGATGATTCTGAAATTCATACTAAGGTGACCACCACGAAGCTTAAGAAGCAGTAAGGTAAAAAAAAAAAAAAAAGAAGCAGTAAGGTGACCCCACTGCAGATGGCGCCAGGGCTGGCCCTTCCCAGCGCCAGGGTCCTGCCTCCCCATAAAGGTGCTGGTCCTTCAAGTGATGAGGTTACTTCCTAGGTGTATCTACGTTGCATTCCCCATACTTGTTGGGTTAGTTGTGTCCATGTCTGAATTTTAGAGTTACCCTTAAACAACTTCTGAGATTACCCACCCCCCACATCAAATGCTGAGTACCCACCCCCCACATCAAATGCTTCTGGAGGGCCCCCCAAGCAATGCTCAGAGGACCCAGGGCTCACTCCCATGGGATACTGGTCAAATGAATGAATGGTTTAGTGCTTTGGCCTGGCACTGTGGTGCTGCTTGAACCCACCAAGGCCACACTCAGGGGTGTTCGGAGGTCTCTGATGCCAGAGATTGAACTCAGGGCTTTAAATGTGCCCCTGATCCCTGAGCTATGTCCTCAGTCCCACATATAACTTTTGGCATCCCCAAAAACTTAATTACTAATAGCCTACTGTGGACTGCAAGACTTTCCAATGACCTAAATTGTTGATTGGCATATTTCAAAAATGCTAGCTACAAATTGCATCTTTACCATAAAGCCAGAGAAAACAAAATGTTAAAAAGAAAAAAAAAAGAAAAATTACAAGGAAAATAACACCCACAGTGCTATACTCTATTCATCAATACTGGGTACAAGAAAACTCATATGAAAGTGGACTGGCGCAGTTCTAGCCCATGTTGGAATAAGAATTATAGAGCAAGTATAATGAGAATTATAGAGCTGTGTCTGGTTTCTTTGCTTCACATACTGTCTGTGAGATCTATCTGCTGGATTGCTGCATTTTCTTTTAAATGAAATCCACTGCGAGACTGGAGAGATAGTGGGTAGGGTGCTTGCCTTGCATGCGGCTGACCTGGGTTAAATCCCTGGCATTCTGTTGGGTTCCCCCAAGCCCTGATCCCTGAGCGCAGACCCAGGAATACACCCTGAGCACAGCCAGGTGTGGCCTCCAACAAACAAAAAAATTAATCTCATTGCATTTCCCTTTTAGCAAGGGTCAGAATTGTGAAATATGCATTAGTACATCAGCTTTGTCCCCCATACTTGTACCCTAGGAGGTTACAAGTTGAGGTTCCACCGATAGGCACCAAGAGGGAAGGAGCATAACCAGTCACCTTCCCAGCTTCCAAGAGGGGCTTTCCACTCACCTCTGCTAACTTCAGCGTCACCCACTCTTTGATTTTCGCAGCTTTTTCTTGAATGACTTTTGCTTCTTCAGCTCTTATCAGTTTCTATAAGAAGGGGGAAGAGGGGAGATCTTAATTAATCTCAGCAGTCATGGGGTTAAGAGGCATAAAGTGATGAGAAGACCAAGATACTAGATTGGAGAGGAAAAAGAAAAATTACTTAGGGTTGAAGAGATAGTACAGTGGGTAGGGCACTTGTCTTGCATGTGGTGGACCTGGGAATCCATCCCCAGCATACCGTAGCACTGCCAGGAGTAATTCCTGCAAGCAAGGCAAATGCCCTCTCCACTGTACTAAAACTCCAGCCCATCTTTTTTGTTGTTGTTGTTGTTATTTTTCTTTTTTTGCCTTTATTTTAATATTTTTATACAACTATTAAAGCATAAAATGATAGTAAAAAATGAACAACCATAAAGTGAGGAGTCTCTCAGGGGCATCAAAAAAGGAAAAAAAAAGCAAAAAGATGCTAAAGGAGAATATTTTGAAAGTTTCTGGAAGGCCATGTGGTTGATGAGAGTTCTGATTAAACAGGCGAATGAGCAAGATGTGATAGGAAAGAGTGCAAGAAATCAGATTGTGACAGTCCTTATCCGTTATTACTGGGGACTTCTGTCTTGGGAGTGCCACTTGCCTGGCGAAGAAAGTTCATATGCATCAGCACTATGGTAGAACAACTACAAACTGTAGAAAACATAAGCAAAACCAAAACCTGTAACATCTGAAGTCACTGGATTTCCAGAACTGCAGGAAAACTTTGGAAGGATGTCAAAATTGAGCAGAGAAAGTGGTTCTTAGTGGGTTTTCCAGGTTTCAGTCTCTGTCCTGAGGGAAGAGCATATTCAGGACATTGAATGATGGACTGGAGTGATAATACAGGGGCCCGTTGCCAACCTGGGCTCGATCCCTGGCACCCCATATGTCCCCTGGGCCCACCAGGAACAGAGAGCCAGGAATAAGCCCTGAGCACTGCTGAGGTAGGTAAAAAAAAAAAAAAGAGTGACTAAAACTCCAGTGGAAAACTAGACATCTTCCTGGTATCTGAAAATCAGAAGAGAGTGGTGTCTGAGCAATAGTATAATGTGTAGGGTATTTGCATTGCACACAGCCAACTCAGGTTCAATTTCTGGCATCCCAATGGTCGCCCAATTAATCCCCAGGAGTAGTTTCTGAGTGCAGAGGCAGGAGTAACCCCTGAACCCCATTGGGCGTGTACCCCTCATCCCCAGGAAAACTCCTGAAAGTCGGAATAGACTTCGTGACAACCAGATCAGCTGGGAATTTGATAAGGTGGCATTCTAGTAATTATAGAGTAAGGAAGCAAGAGAAGATCATGACAAATTTTGTATATAAACCAATGGCTTTCAACTTTTCGAAACCTGCACATGCACCCGTATCCCCCTGCTTACGGCAACTCAGCAAGTCACGCCCAGAAGCCACCTCCGGCTGGCACAGGATAATCTCATCGTTAGCCACAATCCAGAGTCGCATGTCCTTCTCTCCCTGAAGGGAGCAGAACATGGCACACACCATAACCATGCGCCAGGTGGGGAGACTTCTCCCTGACCCAGGGGATCCAGCCCCTGCAGCGAAAAACCTCCAGAACTCAACTGCCTCCATGTTCACTGCCACTCTCCACACGCTCAGGCCCTCAGGCTGAGTCTCACCCATGAGTGAACCTATTTCTGGACTGAGCGGCAGCATTTGTGGCCGCACAACTGTACCTTACACCACCCATACTCCAAGAGTACCGCTCCACATTTGATGGGGTTTAAAGAGTCAACCATTCTTAGAGGAAAATGTTTTTTTTTTAAGATATATGTCTATATATCTATATCTATATCTATAAGCACATAAGGCTAACCTTTAACAACATGTTATTAATCTCTTATAGAAGGGCTTACTGGTCCCTGTGTGAAATACAACAATCTTTACACTCTTTACTGTAAGGAAAGTTTTTTGTAACATTTTCAGTTGTTTGTCGTAACAAACAATACAAAGTAAATTATTTCAATTCTGCTTTGGGGCAGGGATTGGGATTCAGGATGGAAACATCTGAAATGTGGTGGTGGGAAGGTGTAATGGGATTGATATTCGAATATTAAATGTAATCAAATATTGTGAACTATTTTATAAAACAAATAAATAAAACCTGCACATGGCACTGGGACACTAAAAACTATGCCTGAATTTCTTAAACTGACCAGAATAACACATTCACAAGTTAGAATAAAACAGTTTAACAGGGATTTTGAAAATACAGAAATTTGAGCCCTATTCCAGAGATACACTTTGCAGTGTAAAATTAACTGAGTTAAAATCCAGATTTTAACTGAGTTAAAAATCCGGATTTTAACTGAGTTAAAATCCAAATAAAGAAACAAAAACCAGTATTTTTCAGAGGAATAAAATAGAATACAGAAACTCAGAATAGAACATATAAACTACCTGGGATAAAATCCAAAATCATCAACAAATGAATAATTAGGACAACATAACCGATCCTCAGAATAAAATCAATATAGGTCAATTCTGATTTAATTCAACTGTTGAACTGAGAAACAAACAAAACCCCAGAAAATATCTATTATAATTACATTCAGTGATGGAATATAAAATATACTATTAACAAATGAATAGATATAAAATATCAACAGAAAAGCAAGACCTGATACTTAAGACCAATTTAAATTTTAAAGCTGAAAAAATTTAATTGCTGGAATTTAGAATTCTCTAAACATCAGAGATAACAAGACTTAACCAACCTGAAAATAGAGTTCCCATTATTATTCTCCTTGTTTCCTACATTTTCTGTTTTTTGGGTATACAAGTTCCATATATACAGCTTACAAGTGTGAGGTTTCTTTTCCTTTTCTAAGAATCCCTTCAGTATTTCTTAGAGAGTTGGTTAAGTGAAATTAATTTCCTTTAACTGACATTCATCCTTAAAATTCTCTTCTTTAATCTATGTGACAGCCTAGCTAGGTAGAGTATTTTTGGTTGGAGGTCTCTTAAAAAAAAATCAACAATTTAATCATATCATGTCACTCTCTCCTAACCTGTATAATTTCTGTGGAGATATCTATTAATAGTTTTATGGAGTTTCCCTTACATGTGAGTTTCTGTTTTTTTTTCTTGTTGTTTTTAGGATTCTTATCTTTAATTTTTGCCACTTTACTACAGTGTATCTTAGTTTGGATTTATTTCATTTGAAACTCTTTGATCTTCCTGGATCTGTGTGTCTTAACACTTTTCTTAAGTTAGGAAAGTGCTCGGCTACTTTTCTTTTTTTTTTCTTTTTGGGTCACACCTGGTGATACACAGGGATTACTCCTGGTTCTGCACTCAGAAGTTACTCCTGGCGGTGCTCAGGGAACCGTATGGGATGCTGGGAATCAAACCCGGGTCAGCTGTGTGCAAGCCCAAAGCCCTACCCGCTGTGCCATCATCTCTCCAGCCCCACGGCTATTTTTCATTCAAGTAAGAATTCTACTTCTTTCATCTCTCATCTCATTTTGGAACCAATATTATGCAAATTTTATTCTTTCTGTTCTTTTGGGCCTCCACAGCAGAGCTGGTGGCCATGAGGGCTACACCTGGGACACTCAGGAGGCAACATGTGTGCTAGAAATTGAAACCAGGGCCCTGCACAAGCCAGGCACGATGCTGTCCTATGAGTTATGACCCAATTGTGAATGCTGTACTTCTAGATGCTGTCTCATAGAGCTTGTTATCTTCATCATTTAATTTTTTTTCTTCTTTTCTGTCATTCCCCCCCCCCCCCCCCCATAAGGGTCACATCTGGTAGTGCTTAGGAGAAGGCTCAGGGCCATTCCTGGTAGTGCTGGGGATGGGGGTAGCCACAAGGTTATATCAGGTAGTGCTGACAAAGTAGGACAGGGCATGTGGTACTGGTGCCACTCAGGGCCTAGACATGTGTTCTACCACTTGAGGCATATCCCCATCCCCCTGGTGGTCTTTCTGGAGGTTTTCACTTATCTTCAAATTCCGGTGACATAGTATAGTGGCTATGGCCTTGCATGTGGCTGACCTAGATTCAATGCCTGGCACCCCGTACTGTCCCTCGAGTTCTGCCAGGGGTAATCTCTGAGCACTGCCAGGTGTGCCTTCCCACAGCCCCCACCAAAAAAAAAAAATTAAATATTCAGTTTTTGACTATTTTTGCTACTTAAGTTTAGCTACTGCACGGCAGAGCCTGGAAAGCTACCCGCTGCGAACTCGATATGTCAAAAACAGTAACAATAACAGGTTTTATTCCCCTGACCCTGAAAGAGCCTCTAGTACGGTAGGTAGTGTTGGGAAAGACAAGTAAGGAGAGGCTGCTAAAATCTCAGGGCTGGGACTGACTAAATTGGCACCCGCTCAAGTAAATCGATGAACACGGGATGACAGTGCTACAGTGAAGTTTAGCTACTATGTTCTTTAACTCTGTGATGTTTGTTTGGACTTTGCTCAAGCTTCTCTCATACTTTCTGAGTCTTCGTTAAAGTTTCTTTACACAGTTCCCATTACCACCAGCATCATTAAGCATTATTTGAACTGTTGCTTTGAAATCCGCAGGTAACCTGCATCAGGTTAGGTGTTCTTTCCAGCTGCTATCTCGATCATCAGTGATCCATCTCTTCGTTAGTTCTGGTGCTCAGAAGAGCCTGGGGAATGGCTGGGAGTTTGTGGTCTGCAGTACCTAACACTGACCAGAGCACCAGGCCTGGGGCAATTATGGGGATTCACTGTCCCAAAGACCTGCTGTGTCCCTGAGTTCAAGCATGAGACCATCAAGATCACCAGTTCCTGCTGTCACTCGAGCATGCAGATCTGGGTGGTATCCAGGGAACCCAGGCAAGGACAGGTTAAAGAGGAGTCTGTTTGCTTGCTAGAAGTGAAGGATCTTGATACTATCTCCCAGCCCCTAGCTAGCAGAGCTATTTGCTAGGGGTGGGTGGAGCTCTCAGGAATTTGCCTTTTGGGTCTGTTGCTATGGAGAATAAGATCCAAAATGGCCCCATGAGCTCTGCCCTCAGCTGTGC